AGACAAGTTCCCGCCATGACTTTGCGATTTCCTGTACGACGATTGCGATCGACAGCGCGACCATTGTGTAAGGAGCCCTTAAACGCTCCTTGAAACATCCAAAGTCGAAAGTTGCCGGAGCAGGCGAACCGAACCAAGTCTCACAGTTTAATTTTTGTTTTCAGATCTTCTCGTGATGGACTCCTTGATGAGCTTCGTAGGTCCCACGGCCGAGCAAGTGACCAGCGAGCAAACGTCGTGCGGACCCCAGAAGACCCTCTTTTACTGTCCCAAGTGCCTGCATGGCTTCACCCTCAAGAGCAATCGCAACCGCCACTTCAGATATGAATGCGGCCATGAGCCCAGGTTTAAGTGTCCTTATTGTGAGCTGCGCAGCAAACAGACCTCGCAGATTTACTGTCACATCAGGAAGAAACACCAAGGCGAGAAAGTCTACGTCGTCAACCTGAAGTCCTAACGAATCGTGCCGAGCATCACGTCCAACGTGTATTTTGACACCGCTAGCTACGTTATTACGCATTATAACGACCATAATGAGTGCAATAAATGTCTTCATAGCAACACATTCCGTCTCGAGATCACTTTGATCGTTCTCTCTTTCTTTGGTTCGTTGCTGATTGTCTCATTTCTCGTCTGTTGCCTCAGCTATGCGCTTTACTTCTCCGACCAGTTACTTTATTTTCAGGAACAGACGACCGGTGTTACGAACACGTATGTATCTGTCAACTTCGTCGTTATCAGGTAGGAACATTACATGAGGCAAAAATCCTTTTCATGTCCGACTCGAGCTTCTTCGAGATATCGGCAGCTTTTATTGTCCATAAACTTTGCGAATGATTTCCATTCAATTTAATCACACTATGACGTTGGATGATGCACGACGTGGCTGTTCGATCACCCGCGCAGACTGTATCTCGAGACTGCATAGCTAGGTTGAGAGATAATGTAACATTCATACACGTGACATATTATATTTTCATACAGTTTTGGGCATCGTACACCACAGAAAAGTTGGTACATGTTTTAATGATAGATCTTGAGGGCCAAACTCTAAGGAGATTCGACCATCTCATTGTCAACATATTCATATTCTTGAGACCCATTGAGACAGCAATAAAGAGATCAACCATGAACAAAATATACAGT